AAAAAAAAAAGAAAAGCCATTTAGTTCCTTTTTTTAAGTGCAATTACATCATATTGTATCATGTTTCTATGGTACCTAGGTTGCCCAAAGCAGCTTGGCTTCTGTGTATATATTTGTGTGTGGGTGTGTGTGTGTGTGTGTGAGTGAACTGAACAGAGCTAAGAGCTAACGTTTTCCTGCCTCCCTGCAGCGGACATGTCCGGTGTGGACTGGATGGTGCGTCACGGCCGCAGCCTGGCCCTGGCCATAGCGGTGAAGTCGGCTCCTGAGAAGCTGTGTGGAAAGGATTACTGTGATACCGTAACCGAGATGGTTTTGGCAAATGCCACCGCCGACAGGGTGAGCACAAACAGATCCGAAGCCGACGCGCAGCTTCAACGTAGATCCGTCGCATGTTTTTGTATAGATCCGGAAATTGTGGCGCATGCAGGAGGGCACAAAGACTACTCTTTTCAATTCCATCATTGCTGCGGTACAACAAATCCGTTTAACAGGAGATCTAGATATTAATTTTGTGCAGTGCACCACTGCAAAGGAAAATAAAAGGGGGGGAAAAATGTTTAAGAACAACTCAGCCCACTTGTACTCTTCATTTTTCTTGTCTGTGTCACACAGACCCGTTGCCATAGTAACTGACTGACAATCAAGGATTCAACACCAAAAACACACATTCATTTCCCACACAGAGAACTGAACATTCAGTCCATCACATCATCATGTTTTCATGCTTCATGTTGACATTGAGACCATTAAGAGGTGATCGGCTGAACACAGCAGTGGTTTATTAGCTAATGTATGTACCTGCTCTACTGATAGTCTGTCAGAGAGTTGATGTGTGGGTTGCCTTTTTCTTTTTAACTGAACTGGGAGTGCTGGGCGTACTGGGGCGTCATAGGGAATAGTGCAACCCACGTTTGGAGTTTCGATTCCCGGACCCGACGATATTTGCCACATGTCTTCCCATCTCTTTGCCCCTTTCCCGTCAGCCTACTTTCATTTAAGGGACACTAGAGAAAAAAAAACTGAACTGAAACACTGAATTCCACAACACATCTACATGTTAAGGTTGTCATAGCCAAGCTAGCATAGCGGACCTACTTCCTTCTCCACCCCCCTTTTTTTTTTATTAATGAAAACTTTTTTCTGCCTTGTGAAATGTGACACCCTGAGGGATTTGTACATGTGAGATCACACAGCAACGCATCTACATATTATCCTAGAAAAATTTAAGCATTTTAGTAAATTCTAATATTGACCTTTATGGGTTTCCGTTACTGATGTGATTCCTCCTGCAGATCCCCATCGCGACCAGTGGGATCAGAGCCTTGGGCTTCCTGATGAGGCATCATCTCAGGACGGAGGGAGGCAGTGGCGTTTCACAGCGCATCATTACACTGTTGGTTAAGGTGAGACAAAGGGAACTTTTCACGTCCACTTGGTAGTCAGATTCACTTCCTGTTTTTATTCCTGCAGATGAGAAAAAACGGAGAAGTAGGCGAACAGAAATGATCTGGCCTGTGTGCTTTGTGACTGTAAATCAACCCTGAGAAATGATTCAGCAGAGGCTGTCTGTGGGGAAACAGTTGATTTGTGATGTTACAGTTAGTTTAAACGAATTTGCTTTTAATCATGAATCAGCAAATGTTAAATAAACAGTTGCCTGTTCAATGTACAACTTTATTTAGTTGAACTGAATGGATCTGAATGGATAAATCACAGGATTTATTGCTGGGATTTAACTGGACCTCGTTCACCAGATTGGTAACAATTTCAGTTTCCATCAGAGCGTCTCATACACTGATCTCAGCTGTAACTTTTTCTAATGCAGTCAGTTTGGGCATCAGATCATGTATGAGTTTTGTAGTGGATATTTTTTTGTGATGCATTTTGACCGTGTTACCCCCACAGTGTCTTCAGAACCAGTCCAGTGACATCAGGCTGGTGTCGGAGCGAGTGCTGTGGTGGGTGTTCAGAGAGCCAGCCACTCCCGCCATGGAGCCCAGCCTGATGAAGCCCCTGCTGAAGAGTCTGCTGGACAACACCAAGGACAAGAACACCACGGTCCGAGCCCAGAGCGAACACACCATCGTCAACCTGCTGCGGCTTCGTCAAGGAGAGGAAACCATGCAGGTGAGTCTCGCAATTTACTGCTGCTAATCACACACATATGACAAAGCCAGTAGCTGCATTTCCATTGACCATATAGGCACTCATACTGGGATTATGAAAATACTGTAAAAGAGTTTAAGTGACAATCTCCTCGCTGAGCTGCACTGCTCCCAGCCAAAAACAACCAATTAGAGCCAGGGGTCGCTGTCGATCAATCTCGTGTTCTCGCTACTAAATGTGCTAATGATGGAGAAACGATTTACAGTTACAGGAAAACTGTTTATCTGCTGTCGTCAGTGGCTGTGCTAGCTAGTCTGACCATTCATCACAGACTATGCTGGCTGCAGTGTACCAGAGAGCAAGTGCCGCACAGAGAGATTATTGTCAGCGTTAAGACCCGCCTCCTGGCTCTGATTGGTTGTTACTAGTTGGCGCTGGGAGTAGGCAGAGGAACTCAAACTTTTTTTCTCACAGATTATCTCTCATGTCATGTTGTCTCTACTTAATAACAGTCTCAACAAATATGTAAACATATTTTTTTATTAAAGTTAAATACTGCAGCTTTAATAGACATTCCAGTTTGAAAAAGCTTCTGTTTTTCAGTAGGTTTTTTGCGTGGATTTTGTTTTTTGTACACAAAAATACACAAAATTTATGTATTTTGTAAAAGTGCAATAGAAATACAGTTGTTGATCACGTGTGACATGATCAACAACTGTATGGTTCACTCTTGTAACATGTCAAGTGACTATAAATGAGAATTGGCTCATTAGCTTGAGCTGTACAATATCCCTTTCTGTATTACTAATGGTGATAAAGATGAAGAAGATGACAAGAAGTTGCAGTAGGTTGATGTTGCTTCATGTTTTCTAATGACTTATCACATGAAAAACCTAATTTGTGCGTGGTTTTATTTGCACTTCATACAGTTGAAAAATTATATTTTCTCAACTGAATTTTGACTGTTTTTTTGTGCATACTGATAATGGAAAAGAAACTATGGCCTCAGATTAACTGTAACCCTTTTCGTCTTTTCTTTTCCTTTTTCTTTTCAGAGTATTACTGCCATTCTGGACTCTGCAAGTAACGAACTGCTGTCAGAGTGTCACCGCCGCTCACTGAAGAAAATCGCCAGCCTGCCAGACTCCAACGAGGAGATCGACGACACTATCCTAACATGATGGAGCGGGACTTAATGATAAATGTCTGAATGACACAATGAACAGATCCTGAGTGTATGATAACCCCAGACACTCAACACACATGCTCAGATTGAACCAGCGTGGGAGGAAAAGGAGGCGGATGGAGTTGTGACCGATCTCTCGACTTTCTTAAACCCCACCACCCCCAAATAATTTTTTTGTTTTCTCTCACTTCACCCCGTTCTTTTAGCGGCTTTTCAGCCCGATTTCTTACCTGTTTCTTTTATCTTGTACCAAACAGATTATTATGTACCAAAACACGTTGGGAAAACGCAATGCCAAATCTGTTTTGATATTCCACTGTTCTGCTAGTACTTTTACCAAACTAATTTGAAGCATTTCGGATGCGATTGTGAAGAAAGCCAACCTTGTCGTTAATTTTATTTGGACTTGGCATGTGAGAGATGTTTGGGGGGAAACAATCACTTATGAGACAAATCATTCTTATCAGTGATACTGTTGTAAAAAGGCAAAACAGAATAAAAACTGATTTCATAATGTGATATCAAGATGCTCATTTCTGTCTGGGCTCTGGGGTCATTTAGAACTTGTATTTCTGTCTATATGTGTGAGCAATGTATTCACTACATACAACTGACTACATTAGTTTATACTGCAAGGTTACAGATTTTCTGGTGCCCAACTACAATGTGCCCAAAACACACATACAATTGTTATAAAATGCCATATTTTTCAAACATGACTTAAAAGAAATTTGACTTTGCAATTTTACGCCTTAAAATTGGACCCCTGTCTTTTTAAGAAGTTTCTGCTTTTTCTGAAACTACGCATTCAGGAAGTCATCACAACAAATTTTCCTCATTTACAACTGTTCCTGGAGGTGTTCCACCGAGAAGTAGCTAATATGATGAGTTCGGCAGATGTGCAGTTCCACCAGGCGTTTGCTAATTGCTGCTGCCACTAGTCTGAAGGAGCTGAGCATTTGGGCACCAAGACTGACTCCCTTCTCAAATATGCAAGAAAGAATCAAAGCAACACTCCAACTGTGTTTGATGAGGGAATAACAATGTGATATAAAGCTAAAAAAATAACATGATACAAATTTTAGATAATAATAACCCAGTAATTACAAGCAAAAACAAAACATTCAAATTTTCTCATTAAACAAGTGTTTTCTGAAATAGGACACCGTACTTCCTGATACAGTGTTACCGCATTAGCTGAAATGAAATGGAAAAAATGAAAACTTTTGCTCATGTCCCAGTCTAAACTTGCAATCTATTGCAGAACTATCAAACACTGCACTTGATGTATTCCTGATAAAACTGAAGGACATGTTGCAGATGAGGATACTGAAATAATCAAACTGGTGATACAAACAGCAATATCAGTGGTTGTCAGACTTTTGAATAAGTGCCACTCTGATATCAAGCTTACCAAAATAACATCTCACAAGATTTTCACAACAGAAGTGGGCGTTGTATTTTGTTTGGTTTTTGTTTTGTCACAAATGAAAAGTGACAAAAGAGCAAGTTAATTATTTAATTATATTGTTATGACTGGATTAATGTAGCATTAAGTTCTCACAAAATTTTGTTGATTTTCTGTGTGTTTATTTTATACTAAAAACATTCCCAAATAATTTTGTTCTCTGATTCGGATGCTCCACATCTTGTTCAGTCCTCTGCACGCTGTAGCTGGAGTCTGCGCAGTGAGGGCCGGGTCACACTTGGGTGCAGCTCCGCTAGAGAAGGAAGCAGAGTTTCCGGCTGTTTGCAGCGGAGCAGGAGGATTGCTGACGCCGCGAAACCCCGAGGAAAAACGCCACCGGCTCGGGGGGCTAGTAGTTTCAAGCTTCGGTTGTGACTCTTTTCTTTTCTTATCAGGGGATCTGGGGGCAGATAAATTTTCTACGGGACCTGAGCAACAAGCCAAACGAAGACGCTGCACAAGGCGGAGGTTAGCTACCAGCTACCGGCATGGCCAGGGACTACGATTACCTCTTCAAGCTGCTCATCATCGGTGACAGCGGTAAGCAGAAGCCGGGGATGCGGGACGGGAAGTGGGCCTCGATGAATTTTTATATATATATATATATATTTTTTTTTTTTATGTATTTTTTTTAACCAGAAGAGAGGGAGAAATGCAGCGTTGTGCCATAGCACACTTTCTGAACTCGTTTACCGTGTGTAATTGTATAACTTTAAAACGAAAATAATGAGGGAAATGTACACATCCGCCATGTTTCTGTGCCAGTGACAGGGCGGAGGTTGCGTGTCCGGACTGGGCATGTCAGGCCGGATACCGCCTCCACATCTTCTGGGGTTGTCTCACGAACGTTTCGGGAGTTGTTCGGTAATTAGTGGGGCATTTATTGTGTCTCGGTAGCAATTGCCTCTCTTTGACCTAAATAGCTTCACCGGGGCTGTCTAATGTCAGTCTCATTTGGCCTCTTGGTTGTGTCTGTTAGCTGACGCTAAGCTAGCATCTCTGTTTCATGCTAGGAAATGTAAATAATCTAGACATTTTTGTTTGTTTGTTTGGTGGTGGCTTCTTGACTCAATGGGTTATTTATATTTATTATAAGTGGCGGGAAGCTGTTGCAGTGATTCAGTTTAGGTAACTGGTTAGCATGAAAGTCTGAGCTCCCTGGTTGTGGAAGAGTTCATTGCTGCAGCTTCCCAAACTGAAGTGAGAATAACAAAGTGGGCAGTATGAACACCAAGTGTCACCAGTTAAGAGCAGACAGCCGCGTGCTGCAGATGTACTCCTAACCCAGGCAAGAGACATCCCCAGTCACAGCTGAACGCTGTAGGGGTGGTTGGAGCTGCTCCTCTGGTACTTTAGTAATTCAACTCCACCCTCTTGATTAGCAGCGTCTCATCCTGCTGGGGTTCTGATTTTGTTTGAGGTTGGGAGGGGTCAATAATCTTTGCTTTCACAGATGGTTCCAAATCCTGGTACCACTAACCCATCAGCTGGCCGGCCACAGAACAAGGCACATCTCTCACACAGGCTCCAGTGTCCCTTCTGCTGTGCTGCAACTGTCTGCTGTTTAGCACGGCTTATTGTGGAAAAATGGTTGAGCGGCAGGAAAATGCAGTTTTGCGTCAAGCGATCAACATTTCAAGCCGTTATATTTTGGCTAATCAAGCTTGTGCGGGTTACTGGTGTTAATGAGGCTCTAAGCAATCTCTTTCTGATCAGATTTTAAGCAGAACTGTAGATCAGAATTTGCCATCAAAGTCCTGATTAGTGGATCTCCACCGACCTCCAAGTCTGACCATATAATTTTCTATGGCTTAATACAGTAATTTTAATTAAACTTAAGGTTATAGTGACCAGAGTAACCCAGCGGTGCCATTCCTCGACGTGACCGGTCAGCTGGATTAATGACGTTTCCTATATTTCCCTCATACTTGCAGAAGAGAAAAGCCTGTTTGAAAATCTTTCTGATCACAAAAATAAAGTAACATTCGTGGTGTGAAAACAAAATGTTTACCACTTGACACTGTCATTAAAGTCACACAGTTTGGAACCTACAGTTCATAATTGCCGTGGTAGTGAAATCTAGGTTACCGAACTCAGTGCAATCCAAAAATGCTTTATTTTCCCAAAGGGTAGCTAAATGTTGTAAATCGTGTTATATATTTATTCATTTACCTGCATTATTTATTGTAAATAAAGGCTCATTAAACTCCTGACGATGGAGCTTATTCCAGTCAGAGAAAGTGATTTATTCCTCGTTTTTTTTCTTTTGTTTTTTTTTTTTTGTCAGGCAGCTGAAAGCCATGATGTTTTATGAAAACTCTCCTTTGAAGCTTTATCTATTGTTAGCCTGAACAAAACTGTGCACTGTAGAGATCACAAGAGCCTGTGACCAATCAAATATTAGACGCCAGCAGTGACACAAAGGAACGGGCAGGACAGGAGAGCCTGAAGCAGAAAGGTGATCTGTTGAGGACAAAGCAGCGATCTCACTCTAAACATCGCAGTCCTCCTTTTTGTTTTCTTTAACTTGTGACAAACATAGTTTCTATGCTCCTCTTAGATGCTTTAGTTTGTTACACCTAAGCTAATCTAATGGAGCTCATAAGGTGTTTGTATAAGGTGACTGTAAAGTCGGTATACAAAGGTCACGCCAACCGCTGCTGTCGTCATCACATGGCGTCTGCGGTACAAGCTCACGTTAAACTCTGAGTTAACAAGAAGGACAAAACTGTTCAAAACCGTACGAGACGAGGACGGAAGGTTTTAGGAACCCGCTGCACTCTAAACCTTTTCCTGTGTTTTGTTTCCTTTTCAGGAGTGGGAAAGAGCAGTCTCCTTTTGCGCTTCGCAGACAACACATTTTCAGGTTTGTGGCTTCAGCTCTGCCGACACAAAAGTACTCACACCTCGCCTTAAGAAATTGTCACATCACAGCCACAGACTGCAGAGGATCTTTAGGGGTATTTTGTACGGTAGACCACAACTGGTCCTCTGTCCAGTTAAGTGACACTCGTTTATAGCTATAAATATTTGAGAAAAGGACGTGATCGTTGATGAGTGATTTTAAATGAATTTGTCATATGTAAAAATAAAAAAACCTCACAGTTTATGCGGCCCTCTCGAGAGTAGAAAAAAAACCTTTCAAAGGAATATTATTTTTAATCAATCAAATCACAGCAGTTTTATCTATATTCTGACATAGTATGAAGGTGAAAAGCTGTTCAGTGTATAATATAGAATCAGCTATTTGTTCATATTTTAGCAGTTTGAGTAGTTTTATCAATACATTTCGCCACAACTCATTCTCAACCTTGAAAATGAGTTGAACACAGCTGACCTTGAACATGCCTTCCCCACAAACACGGTGGAGGCAGAGTCATGCTTTGGGGAAGCTGGGTAGATTTGATGGGATGATGGAGGCAGATGTTTGTCTTTCTGTTGCACGTGGATCTTAAACATACAGCCAGCGCTGCAGTTGAATGGTTTAGATCAAACCGTATTCATGCGTTAGAACGGCCCAGTTAAAGTTCAGGCCAGAACCTAAAAATGCTTTCCGTCTAATCTGGCTAAGATTGAGCTGCTTCATGAAGACGAAGGGAGAAAAATTGTACATCTCCTGATGTACAAAAGTCATAGTAAATACTGAGGATACACAGATTAACTTTTTCATGTCCAATACCGATTCTGACATCTGATGGCCAGTAACCATCCCCTGGAGACTAACAATGCTGAACTTATTTCTTTTTTTTGTTGTTTTATACAGACATAAATGTACTGATTTATAAATATATTTGTTAACTTTGCACCAATACAAAACATTTAACTATACCAATAGCATCACAAGCTTGGTCAAATGTGTAAAAACAACTTTCATTTGTTCAGTCAGTGGAATTAGGAGAACAGCAGCCAAAGTAAAATAAATAAAAGAAACTGACAAAAACAGGATGACTACTGTGGTCAAAAGTGTAAAAAAAAAAAAAAAACCTCAACAAATGTTATTTCAAATAACTTGAAAGTACAATTAGGAATTCTAAATGTAATATAAAATAAATAATAAAACATGCCGTCACTCAGAGCATAAAACATAGAATTAGACTGGATAGATCTGCCCTTATGGATGGGGTACATTGTCATAGATAACTGATCTAGGAAGGTTTAGTAGAAATGCACATCACAGTTTTACATATCATATCTACTTGTGAAAAAACTTCAAACCCTGAATCCTCCTTTTTACTGTTGGTCCGTCACCATAAAAACAGTGACGCTTGCGGCTGCAATGTGACAAAATGTTAAACGTCAGACGTCTTGAGTACTTCAGCAACATTCCTCCACGTCTGCATGCGCCGCTCTCTACATCCGTCTCCGTCCGCTGCTCACAGGTAGCTACATCACCACGATAGGCGTGGACTTCAAGATCCGGACGGTGGAGATCAACGGCGAGAAGGTGAAGCTGCAGATCTGGGACACGGCGGGCCAGGAACGCTTTCGCACCATCACCTCCACGTGAGTAGAGCCGCCGCTCCACACTGCCGATCGAAGCCTCGGGAAGCGCTCTGTGGTCATCAAATGAGATATTATATGAGGGGAACAGCAAGGAGGCAACGACACTGAGTTTATGCTTCGCCGTGAAACTGGGTGGGATTCCCCCACAGATCCTAATTACAGACAGAAGAGGGAGGCTCCTAGCTGTGCAACGGCAACAGCTGCACTTACACTTTTTCGTCCGTACGCCTCGGGGCTCGCTCTGATTTCTAAACGCTCGGACACTTTAAAACTCGACTGGTTTTGTTTTATTTTCCATTTAGCCGCTGTGAAACAACACTGCTCACCTAACAGCGTTTAGATCAGTGAGCAGCAACTACGTTATATAGAACAAGAGTTTATTCATGGATATTTACCTTTAATCTATGTTGCATCATTTGTCCCAACTAAAACATGTTGCAACATGTTGTAAATGAGAATCAGATGTAAGATTCGATAAAACACCGGGGTATTCTTTTTATTTATTTGGTTATCTGGGCAGACTTCTCTACAGAAGTTGCAGTCAGTGCTCCACAAAATTCTGCTGCCGTTAGCTGTGCTTTCGTTTTATTATCTTCCTCCGTGTTATGATTTTTGTGACAATATTGTCTGTTCCTATTAATGGAAAGTTGTTTCAGAAACGGCTCCGTCTAATGGAGCGCTGCTGTGTGACGCATGTGAGTCACTTTGGGATCGTGACTTCACGCACAAGTCTCATTGCACTCACATTTAATTTGTAATATGAATTACCACACAGAAAAATAACATGGATTTTTTGAAATCATTACGGCAATACTCAATTCAAAACATCAGAATTGAGTGTCAATTAGGCCTGTCCAATATGCAGTAAATCAATTCATCAATATATTAAAACTAGCTCAATAATTTCCCTTTGCATGATTTAGCATTTCTCTCTTCTCTCTTGTTCTTTGTGGGTTTTTTTGAAGAACAATTTTCTTTATGGAGACTTTATAATTAATTTTATGTATTGCTTCTGTTTTGATTTATGTTAGATATTTAAAATGTCTTCCAGTTCCTGTGTTTAAATGGTCACTAGAATGTAAAGTTTATTGATATTGGAGAATATGTTTGTCCATTATCATGCCATTATCATTAAGTTATTTGAAAATGGTCTCGAAACAACAATGTTATTAACTTTTATTGCAGTAAATTCTGGGACAATTTATTATCCAGCAAAATTTGTTATTGTGACAGGTCTAGCAACAATATCTACCTCAATTTCCCTATGGGATTAATAAAGTTTTTCTATTCTATTCTATCTGGTGTGTGAAGGTTTCCACAACAGCACTGATCCATGACTGTTGTGGCCCACAGGAAGCCTGACTCATGTATTCTCTTCTTTTAAAACCTTAAGACACACGCAGCGCAGGCAACTATGGTGTATAGACACCCTGTTTAAGTCCATTTCATTTTTATATTTGGTGAGTGTGACTTGTATTCAAATGTGCTCAATAGTCCAGAACCCTAATATCCACCCCAGATGAATCATCAGCACGTCATTGAGCTGCACTGTTAAGTGGGAGCGATTTAATTCCCCATTAATTTGTCTAATCCAGCAGCAAACTGAACCCTAGTGACTACACTGTTCCAGGGCTGCATCAGTTCGATCGGCAGAATGAGCTCAGGAAGGCAAAGCATCCAAAACATTTCAAGTGATTAACATTCCCTTGGTAATGATGTCAGTGGTAGACGTCTTTTCCTCGTTGTACAATGTGCTTAGTGTTCTGTTGCCTACCCAAATATCTCTTGTCAGAGAGACTGTGCTCAACATTTATTGCCAGAGTCTCCTATAAAACTGAAACTATGAACTTTGTAATTTAAACAAGTTGACATCGGACTTGTTTCTGGTGAGAGTTGGACTCCGCCAGGGCTTCCCTTTGTCACCGATTCTGTTCATCAGTGACAACATGAACACGCCCTCAACACTGAGGGCACCTGGGTACAGCCAAGGTGTTGAGGGAACCCGTTTTGGTGGCCTTAGGATCGCATCTCTTTTTGTGGATGAAGTGGTCCTATTGGCTTCATCAGATCATGATCTGCAGCTCTCGCTGGAGTGGTTCACAGACAAGTGTGAAGCAGCTGGAATGAGGATCAGTGTCTCCAAATCCGAGGCCTTGGTCTTGAGCCGGAAAGCGGTAGTGCCTTCTCCGGGTCGGGGAGGGATGTCCTGCCCCAAGTAGAGGAGTGGAAGTATCTCGGGATCTTGTTCACCGATGAGGGAAGAAGGGAGCGGGAGATCGACAGGCGGATTGGCACAGCGTCTGCCGTGAAGCGGGCGCTGTACCGGTCTGTCATGGTGAAGAGGGAGCTGAGTCAAAAAGCGAAGCCTTTGATATCAACCGGTTGATCATCATCTGTGGTCATGAGCTTTGAGTCGTGACCGAAAGAACGAGATCACGGATACAAGCGGCTGAAATGGGTTTTCTCCGTAGGGTGGCTGGGCTCTCCCTTAGTGATAGGGTGAGAAGCTCGGTCAGACTAGAGCTCAGAGTAGGGACTCGGAGTAGAGCTGCTGATCCTTTACATCGAGAAGGGCTAGTTGAGGTGGCTCAGGCATCTGGTCAGGATGCTTGTTGGACGCCTCCCTGGTGAGGTGTTCTGGACACGTTCCACCGGGAGGAGGCCCCGGGGAAGACCCAGGACACGCTGGAGGGACGATGTTTCTCAGCTGGCCTGGGACCGCCTTGGGATTCCCCAAGAGGAGTTGTAACAAGTGGCTGGAGAGAGGGAAGTCTGAGCCTCTGTTCTTAGGCTGCTACCCCAGCAACCTGACCCTTGATAAGCAGAAGAAGATGGATGGATGTGATGGATGGATGGATGGACATTAGGGTTGGGCAATATTTATGTAACACTGTTCAGACTTGCATGAAAATATTTAATTAATGGTATTATTATATACATCTACAAAGGCTTGTAATGTTGATTCACTACATATTACATGTCAATTTAAGACCATAAAGATTATAATGGATTTGTATTATATTAAAGGGGCACCTCATGCATGTAGTAGCATTTTATAGCACAGTCAAGTAACTGTTAACTTCGGTTATAAAAATACTGTCCATCATATTTGACTTTATAATTTAACGCCTTAAAATTGGGTCTGTCTCTTTAAGAAGCTTCTGCTCTTTCTGAAACTCTGCCCCCAGGAAGCCATCACATTGATCCTCTATTAACTTTTTAGCAACTTTTTTACCAGCGTTGCACTGAGAACTAGCTCCTATAATGAGCTCAGCTGATGTGCAGTTCCACCAGATGTTTGCTAATTGCTGCTGGCTAGTCTGAAGGAGCTGAGTGGGTGAGTTACATTAGAGGGATGCTCTTGGAGGCGGAAGCTCAGTAGCTTGAAAGCTGCAGCTCTAAGAAGGAGCGGCGCCTTAAAGGCGGAGCTAGACTGCACAGCCGAATGGCTGCCATGAGAGATTAAAAGATTTCTCAAACATGCATGAAAGAATGCAGGCAACATTCTAGATATGTTTTTGTCTAGTGATGACATAACACAATATAATGCTGAAAAGCGTTAATTTTTACATAATAATGCGCGTTAAGATGTTGTGGAACACCTCCTTGTTAAGTGACCTGTAAAAAGATGAGTGTTTAAAATCTGAAGTTCTTCATGTTGCTGTAAGGATACAGAATCAAGACCTCTACACAAGACCTGGCTGCAGAGGAAGTAATGCTAGGAAGTGCATTTTATGGGGGCTATTTTGGTTTGAATTCAGCCCATTAGTATACAGGACTCATCAGGTCTCAGCGGGCTGCAAACCTTTCAGCTGAAGACTCGCTACCAAATGGGCATATGCACACTGTGACTCAGCGGGTCATTTTCGTATTCTTGTAGGTTTCCAGCGATGCGTGTTGAAGTGCTTCAAGTTGCCTAAAATCTGTGTCAGGGTATTAATGTATGCACATCAGGACTGCAGACGAGTCTATGTGCATATATTTAGTGAAGCAGAGTGCAGGTTCAGTCCATTTACTGCACAGAAGGCAAAACAGGCTGTGTCAGATTTTATCTTCATGGATCACAACTTTTATACTTCTGCCCTGTCACGTTCATGTTGGCATGGTTAGAGAATGTCTCGCCGTGTTTTTCTTGGTTTCAGCTTCCTCTGTTTCACTCTCCACACCTCTTGCTGCTATTGCTGAATTTGTACGAGTTTTTATAGTGGCATAATATATTTTTGCTAAAGCAAAGATTTGCACTGATATGAGATTTCTTGTTGTTTTCTAGTCATTTTAAAGTGGAGTAATTTAACCTGAAATCTCAATTCCGAAGGCGTTTTCACCCTTAAAGCTACAGAAGCGGGTGTTGGTGCTGTCAATCATGCTTGTGCTGTGTGATTGAATCACACAGACCAAAATAACTGTACCAAGAAGGAGGTGGTCTGAGTTAGGGCTGGGGGAAAAAAATCTAACATCCTGATATATTTTTGCTCTTCTACAATACACAATATATATTACGATATTCTTCAATGAGCTCCAATGTTATAGACCCTTTACAGCATGATGTCACCCACGCACTTCCCACCCCCAATTCCCTGCTAGACTTAAATGTAAGCTCATATAAAACGGGATGCAGTGTTTTGCTATGAACTAACAAGGTGAGAAATAAGTTTTAACTAAGAAAAAAATAGCGAGGGAGAGAGAAGTAGGTCAATTAAGCTTGATTTTGACAAACTTGAATAGATGTGCTGTGGAATAAGGTGTTTATCACATCCATAGCTTCGATGCGGCTATTTTAACAATTGTAAATTGAAAATATCGCGACACATGGAGTATACTCAATACATCGGCCAGCGCTAGTCTTGGTACAGTTCCAACTCTAGAGCCGATCACTTATGATGTGAATGTGATCCAACAGAGCCACCAGATTTATACTGCAAGCTTGAACCAAAGCTGATTTCTTGTCCCTTTGTGAGTTTAGTACGCTGCAGTTAGCTTAAAGCAGCTAGGAAGACGTAGATGGACCACTGCAGCGAGGACGAACAGGAAGTCAACTCTTCTTGAAGGAATAAAAATTTAAAAAAAGACTATGCCAGCTTTGTCTTCCGGCACCACCGGAAAACCGTATAAAATCTGCTCAATTAAATTTTTCTGTAATATTTAGGTCTGGTTGCTGAAAGGTTTATTTTTTTTCTTCCTCCCAGTGGCTCCCTATTAGACTAGAATACTTCCTTTAGTTTATAAATCGTTGAACCGCCCAGCATCACAATACTTTAGAGATCTGTTTTTGTTGCTGTATCAACCTTTCAGACCTCGTGGGTCTTCTGATGTCATGTCTTTTTTGCTTGTTTCAATTATCATTTTATTATGTTTTTGATTGTGTAAAGCACATTAAACTGCCTTCATGATGAAATGTTCTATAATGTACTCCTTTATTGACAACTTAGCTCCGTTGTCGCTATACTTAGCTACTTTTTAGACAAAAAAAATTGGTATTGGCTAAAATCAGAACCGGCACGTCAAGCTTCCTACAGATCAGCTAGAAAACTGCAATCAGGGAACCAATAACTGGCTTTCTAATTTGTGTTTTGTCTTTATGTATTGATTATATTTGCTGAATCACCAATTGTCTCTCATGTTGATGTGTCCAACACAAGTCTTGCTTTTTCCCATCTCCAGATATTACAGAGGAACGCACGGGGTCATAGTGGTCTACGACGTCACGAGCGCCGAGTCCTTCGTCAATGTCAAACGATGGTTGCATGAAATCAACCAGAACTGTGACGACGTCTGCCGAATATTAGGTGGGTTTCGTTCTCGCGCCGCCGACGGAGGCCCAGCTGTTGGTCGGTGCCGGTCTGAATGCAGAACCTGCGATGTGTTTCAGTGGGAAACAAGAACGACGACCCCAGCTCGAAGGTGGTCGAGACGACCGACGCGCAGAAGTTTGCGGAGCAGATGGGAATCAGCCTGTTCGAGACGAGCGCAAAAGAAAATATCAACGTTGAAGAGGTGAGGCAGCTTCTCTATACTCCTCTCGTACTCTGGATGTGCAGAGTACTCCCACTTATTACAGAAACGCTGCATTTTACTGGGCTTCACAACTGTGTTTTGATTTCCAACATCTTTTACAAGTGAAAATCCAAGAGGTGTGGCATCATTCAGTTTCACCTTAGAGTTTCTACCAGCTTTTTACATTTTTCTCCATTCTTCTTATATTCTGACTGTCAGACTTTTAAAATATCAGTGATCAATCTTTTTTTTTTAAAAACGGCACAGTTCGACTCGAGCTTTAATATTTTAGTTTACAATATAAAGGCCATGTTTCTCACCATGTGTGATCTGTCAAAGCAGACCAGCATCAACACCGTACACCTATGTATGTTTTATATTCACCAAGCACATTGAGTGTTTTTCTGATGATGAGCAGCTCTGCTCTGTTCACTACTTAGATTATTACTGAAGCTTGAATCGCCTTGTATTTCGGGGTATCAGAGTAAAGGGATTGAATGCAAATTGCTGCCACCCTTTATATGTTAAATATGTATAACTGCACGATTTTCACTTTCACAATTCAATGCAGAAATATTTTATTGAACCCAGAGGGGAATTAAATGTTGTAACTCTTATTAACTCACATTCTTCAGTTATTGGTGATGACTGTTGACTTGCTGTTTGAACATTATTTCATCTTTTTGTGTTGTATTAATCAGGCCTTCCAGGCTTCCATGATTGTTGTTGTGATTTACATTTTTTTTTATCATCAAACTCACTGACTTCCATGCTGCTTAATTAGAAATATATGCAAGGAATTTTGACCCTTTTTGCCAAACATTTCCAAGAAACTCACAACTATGCACGAGAGGGGGAAAAAATCCAGGCATCTGTTATCAGCCTCTTTCCAAAATGGAAATAAAAAGAATAAAAACTTTTTTTTTTAAAAGACAGTCCTCCAAACCCAGTGTAATTGTCATGTCGTTGCTTTGCAGATGTTCAACTGCATCACAGAGCTGGTGCTAAAAGCCAAGAAGGAGGTTCTAGCCAAGCAGCAGCAGCAGCAACAGAACGACGTGGTCAAACTCACCCGGAACAGTAAACGGAAGAAAAAGTGCTGCTAGCGAAAGCGAGCGGTGAACGGCCGGAGGCATCTCCTCTCCACACACTCACACACCACACCATGGGACTCAGAGCATCTAAATTAAAGAGCAGATAAAGATTTAATGAATATACAGAGAAAAAAAAAGAAATAAAAATAAAAAAAATAAATGGAAATATTGTCCCCTTTGGACAAACTAATCATGAAGACTTTAAAAAAAAAAAAGAATTTGTACAGATTTTTATGAAACGTCAGATCAGGTTTTATTTGGAACGCATCAGATAAGCACTGTTTGACCTGAGCTCCTCTTTTTCGGTGAAGAATCTGAAGCCGCCGTCTGATGGACTCACAGCTCAGATTTCCGCCCCCGTCTTCCCTTCCTGTCAGTATCTCATCTCTCCTTCCCGTTCCGCCGCACACAGGACGCTGCGGGCCCCGCCCGGCTCCGCACCTGAGGGGGGGGAGGACTCGTTTCCTCTACACTTTTCCATTTAATTAGTTTTTCTTTTGTTTTTGTTTTTTCCGGTGGGCGGAGCCAGGACTTTGCGCATGGCCGCGAAAGAAAGCAAGAACTCCTCTCGTGTTTAAAAGTGCGTACATTTCATCCGCCCGCATGGCCAACAGATCATGAACTTCTCGGTTTCGTTGTCGGGGGAAACGGGCCCAATGATGAAGTCGATTAGCACGTTTAGCAGTTAACCTAAAGGACTGAACTGGTGTTTGTTTTGTTGTTGTTGTTTTTTTTCCTCTGTATTTTGCCAAGCTTCCCCTTCCTTAACCTCCTAACTTCCAGTAGTGCTGAGCCAATGTTAACTGATCTCATGTTTTCTCCATGCAGCAGAGCAGGTGAACCACTCCCAGAGCTCCCATTGCACTGTTCACTGCAGTCTTACTTCCTCTTCCGTTTTCCTTTAAATCCCCTTTTTAAAAATAAAAAATAAAAAAAATAGAACAAAAAACAAAGATAACTGCCAATACTATAAAACAAAGAAAATCTATATCAATATATGAACTCGGCAGAGCCTCTCATTGGACTGTTGCCATAGCGGCCGTCGGCTGGTCAGGATACAGGGTGAATCAGCGTCTGATTGGACCCTGTTGAGTCCTCAGGAAATGCTCCCTCCCTCCCCTCCTCCTCATCCTCCTCCTCTTCTTCTTCTGTGTTGCTGCCGCCAGCCTTGTGTTCCCTCATCGCCCACATATCAGCACCTCACAGCGACCGACTCGCCATCTGCAAGGAGAAACCCGCCATCGCTGTGACCTCTCCTCCACTGGGGTTCTTCTTGCTTTCTTTTTCTTCTGTTTTCATTTTATTTTCTGTTTTTTGTTTGTTTGTTTGTTTTGGCATGCAACTCTTCGTTTTGAGGATTTTTTATGATTCTTTTTTTGTAAAAGCTAACGAGAACTGACTGTGTTCTCTCCATTAACAGTGACTGATGTCGTGTTTTCATCTCCCTCCTCCTCAACCTGTTGGAGTGTTAGCTGTCAGTTTTCGGTGTCCGTGGCGACAATGTGGCAGAACGAGCGGCAGCACTGGAGTCACGTTTTCCCATCAGCATCTATTACTGACATTTATTGTTATTTTTTTTGTTGTTGTTGGTTGTTTTTTGAAAAAATTGGGAGAGCTTTACTGCAGACGGAGGAGGAGGAGGAAATACTCTGAGTGGGTTCTGGTGGGCTCACGCCAACAGGTATCAGAAAGCCCACACTTTGATTTCTCTCTACCGTGTGTGTATGTAGTGCGCACGCGGTGTATAGTGTATATATACAAATGTGTGTTTATATTCAATATAGAAGATGCACACATGACTGGCGCACCGAATCGTGCATGTGCTGCACATGCCTGGTGTGCTGGGGTCATGAAACAACAACACACTCGTCAGCTGTGGTTCGCTGTACACTGGAGAAATAAAGATGTACTATTCAGTTTTCCCTACATGAATTAAATCAGTAATAAACGTTTTAAAGAAATAAATATTTGACACATAATGATTGATTTTGGTCCCGAGTTCATTTTAGCAATCTTGTTTTTTTGTTTGTTTTTCTGAAGATGGTGTAAAGTTTGAACTGATTTTTAGGTTGATTTTGAAGCCTGGCAAAAGCAATAAGGAAGCAAAAATGATTACAGCTTAATAAATAGTTTATTACTGATATGACTAACTTTGATCATGTCACCTTCCAAAAATAATGGCATGGTTTTTTTTTTCTTTTCTCCAAAAGACTATTGACAAAATATTAATCACTTTTGGCACAAAACAAAACTTGGGACATTTTTTTAAGGAAGGTCACAGTATATCTCGTTTTTCTGTAAAAAGAAAAAAAACAGCAATTTTAAAAATCAAGAACTATAGCAGTCAGTAAGTGCTTCACTCACCTAGAGGTTTTTTTTTTAGGCGACTTTATTTGTTTTTTGAATGTTTTTGTAAATTTGGTTCCCGACTAAATTTTCTTTCAGATCCATTTTGGAGTGTGACACTTTTTCATCTGTCTTTTTTTCTTCATATATTGAAACACCAAAGGCATTTTTGCAATAAGTGATATTTTGGTTTCACCTGGGTGAAAGGAAAAGGTTCACCAGGGATCATGGAAACCTTGTCAAGTGAAGTCCGTTCAAGGGGCGAATGAAGGTTCATCATGAGTCATGTTCTTTATGTGAAGCCACTCAGAGGTGTGGAACCCGGGCTCAGCAGAGAAAAACCTCCACTCTTGCTCAGTGGTCCACAGTCCTCTTTTCAGATGAAAATAAAATTAGCATTTTTTTTTCCAATAATTTTTATGTTGATCTCATGTAATATTCACATTTTCAGAAGCATTAGATTTAAGGATTTCATTTTCTCTAAGTTCTATTCCTTAAAGTGACGCAAAATGAAGGCTTGAAACTTGAACTTTGTGATGCATCTGATAAAGACGATGTTTTGCTATATTATATTTTTAGATTTGCAAATATTTTTAACCCTCCCCCAATTTTAAGAGATGGGTTCATTTGGACCCTATATTTTTTATGGCGCTGCACTGATTCCACGTGCACTTTTCCGATTGTGGGGAGTCTTCTGGAACTGACTCTGACTGGACAACACCCCAAGTCCTCCGCCTCCCCTCTGTCCGGCCATCATATGCAGCGTTCCTCCTGTGCATCGCGCTAATTAAGTCAGATTATTTCCCACTATCGCATAAAATCCTAATAAAATACAGTAAAGTTTGTGCTTTTTGTAATATGACAACATTTAGTAAAGTTTTGGAAATGATGGCAGTTAACAACATTGGATGAAAATGTCCACTGAATCTGAACCCTTACATGAAATATTTACTCAAAACTACAAATAGTTTTTTGTCCTTCCAGAGACGAGCATGTTTTTTTTCTTTTTTGCTCATTTTTAATCGGCAACAATTTGTACAGTAAAGTCAAACTGCTGCGGGTTTATCTGATGCACTGTTTTGGTAATTGAGCAGAAGGATTAAACGGATCAGCGGCTCCATTCGTCCAACTGTGGGAACCACAAACAACTCAATGAGACCGAGACACGAGGATTTGTAAAGAGTTTATTCGTACAAAAACAAGGATGCTAAGAAAATTGCATGATAAATATTTTGAATAGTTTGAAGTGTTTTGTAACTAAAACAGTGCCGTCAGTCAGTGGTGAATGGAAGCACTCGCATGGAGTACAATGAGCCCACCGAAAGCACTAGATTGGAAAACGGCCGAGGGAGAGACGAGTAACACACACACACACACACACACACACTCAATGGGATCTCTGTGTTTCCCACTGCAACACACACTTCAGTCTATGGCATCTGGATGCCCAGCCAGTCACACAGACACTGGACATGGAGAATTCATTCAGTCTGCTGAGTAAGAGACAAATTCAACCAGAAAAAAAAACAAAACAGCCTTTACAACAAAATGAAGTCGACAGAATCAAACGTAACATTTTTCTTCTTTTTTTTCCTGCAAGATTGTGACATAAAAAACACAAAACAAAGAAACTGACGTTTAGTTCTTGTCCCAGTTCTGACTCCAACATGTTGGCTCATGTAATTATTGGTAACATAAAAACACTGACAGTGAATATGATTGTAATCATCTCTGCTGGACAATATTATTATGTTATAAATTGATGTTTGAGGTAAAATATATAACTATTTTTTTATAATCTGGGCTAAGTCTGGGCTAAGTGTGCCGTTTTGCTTTACCTTAAATAGTTAAAGCGTCTCACTTCGCTATATAATTTATGGAATAAACTATCAGGACAATATTGATAAAAAATATAACTCTTAATCAAGTCTGCCTTATATATAAGTAAATGCATGAACTAAAAGTGATCTGACTGGAGATAATCTGCTGGTTAATTTTCAAAACTGTTGTCTTTTGAAATGGCTCTTCCAGGGCCTGTCCATCGTTGAAGTTGTTATGTTTTTAAGTTGTTAATGTCTTACCTTAATTCTTACGTGCAGTACGTAAGTCTTTCTGTGTCTTCATTTACTAAAACATCCAGATTATTAGAGGGAGCCAAGAAGAGCCGAGGTCAAAGTGAAATTCTGACATCTTAAAAGTAATTCAACTTCAAAAACACCATTGAGGTTGATGCGAATTTGATCAGTTGAGCCTGTTAGTCATTGTCATGTCGGTGGCAACATTCACAGTGGCGCTAAATGATAAACCTTCTAAATTCCAGTATTTGCTAAAATAAGACAAAATAAGCTAAAATAAATCTCGCTAAACAGCTGTTTACACACAGAAGCATCTAAAAAAAATAGAACAATATATAAATCTGTTTCTTAAAGATCATTTCAATGTGAAGACATGATAGAGTTTCGCGTTTAGGTCCAGCAAATTGCGTCATATAGATAAAAGAATTTGAATAAATCATTTATGGACTTTTTTCTCGTTGTGTGACGCCAAACGACAAAAGAGGAAAGGAAAAATGAGCCAAAAGTTGCCCGTTTCTGTCAAAGGAGCTTCTGTTCGCAAGTCACATAGAAACAGTCGACAAAAACATCGTACAGTTATGTCTTTCTACAAAAAGATATTCTGTCAAAAAAGTATGCTTTTTCTTATAAATATATCATCCAAACCTTTTTGTCATTTTTAGTTATTTTTTTTTTTTTTTTTAAATCACTCTTTGGGTTGATCCTTCCCAACAACCAGTTGAGATGACGTGGAGACACCTGCATAGGTTTGCACAGCTTCATCAAACACGAGCTCAAACGCACACAGACACGAGACGTTAATGTGCCACGCAGAGAAAAGATCTGAGCTGGCTTCGGCTGCGTTTCACCGCCGGAGTCGGAAACGTCCCCCAAATCTGGAAGCCCGCAAGCTGAGAAATCAAAGTGCCTGTGATGTATCGAAGCGAGAAGAATGGAGGTAGACCATCTCCATGAGGAGTGAATGCAAACGCTCACGTTGAGCTGTGGTGACAGCTGTGGTGCACCTGACATGCTTTTCAGTTATTGATCATGTGATGAATCCTAACCGCCTCTTGCGCCGATGTAAACAAGAAATTTGGTCAACTGGGAAAATGGCTGACATCACAAGAGACAAAACAGAGCAGTGCTTTTTCTTCAAATGATGTCCGTGAGGTGAGCAGTAGGAAAATGATGCCAGCAGGACAGACTGGAGTTTTACCAGGTTTAATCATCTGTCAGGGACGAGGATGGAGAGTTTCTGGAGGTCATGACAACATCCCACAAACTGAATAGTTCTTCTTTTTTCTTTTTTTTTTAACTTACTTTTCCTGGTGTTTACGATAAAACTGTTAAAACACAAATTAAAAATAATGTATTGCAATTTGTGAAGCTTTTATCAAAGTTGGTGCCAGACAGTCTCTCCAAAAGGCTGACTTTTATTATTCTTTATATTTTGTGAATAGAATATTACTACTACGCTGTATGTCCACCACCAAAATGCCAGAATTTTAGTTGTTGGTGTAACGCCTGGGTTTAGCCCCCGGCTACGAAGGCCAATCAAGATGTTGTAAATCTTACGTTTTAATTATTCCCCAACATTGATTTAGATTATCTGACATAAGAAAGTGACCTTAGAAGTAAAACAATAATTGTAAAAACCAATTGTAAACCAATAATTGCAAAGTATAAAACCTCAACACAGTCCAGGAAGCGTTTCTCAATTGACCCTCTGAACTTAGCAAATAATGTAGGAGAAGAAGCTGGTTTTAATCAGGCCGGCTGGTTTGTTCAAAATAATAACAATAATAAAAAATGTTGTTTTGCACTTAGAAACTCAGTCTGAGATCTATAACAATCAAAGCAACGAGCTACAATAGCTCCACCATCCATCCATCATCCATCCATCCATCCGTCCGTCCGTCCGTCCGTCCGTCCGTCCGTCCGTCCGTCCGTCCATCCATCCATCCATCCATCCATCCATCTGTCCACATACACCCTTGTCCCTAATGGGGTCAGGCGAGTTGCTGGTGCCTGTGGTCAATAGGTCAGAGACGGGGTCACCATGAACAGGTCACCATCCCCTCTATTTCTATTCTTCCATTTGGGAGCTGATCTTTCCCAGTTGTGTTGAACACATCACTCTCCCGTTTTTTCCCCCCTGACAGATGAATAAACCTGAGAGACTCCGCATCGTTGTGAACTCTGTCACTGTCTTCATACTCTGAGCTCTGCTTTGATACTTCAAACTTCTGTCTTTCCCCAGCCTCCTCGGCCTGATAACTGAGATGCATACTGTACATGCTGCGACGCTTTGACATTGTTTTCCACCTCTACAGAGTTGGCAGTGGGTTTTGTAGGCACTACAAGGAAACCGTCCTCTATGGAGGTAAACTTTGTGACCCTGTCCTGTTCTGTAAGACCAGAAAGCAAATTGCTCTTTAGGGTGGATTGCTGAGCCAAAGCCTCTGGGGAAGTGTTGATTTTATTTATTATTATTTTTTACCTTCATTTTCATTTCCTTTCAGTAAGGAGCAGAGCAATGGGACAGATAAAGTGCAAAATGATCTGAACCTCCCCCCCAACATCAGCCCCTGTCTACCAGCGCCTGTCTTTGGCTGAGCTGTTTACCCCGACACTCCCTCACCTCCGTCTGTCCCTGCGTGTCTCCGCTGTGCTTTAAGGGCCAGTTCCAACAGGGATCAGTTCTTTTTGAAAAAAGAGAAAAGTCTCTTGTCCCGCTCAGAGACGCGGCGAGCTCGCCTCGGGGACTGACTCCTCGACGATCCGGACAGCGCGGCGTGGACCGAGCGCCACTCGTCCTGGTGCTTGTCCATCAGCTGCTGGTCAATCACTCTGTGCATGTCGTCCTACGGCCAGAGACGGCAAAGTGAACGAGAGAGAAGGGAGCCGCAGAGAAACATAAACAGAGATGGTGCCAGCCTGAGGGTGGGGTGGGATGAGATGGGAAATGTTGGAGACAAGACTGGACTCTGTCAAGTTAACTGCTGGTGTAATCAAGAAGTTCTCAAACACTGCGTCAAAATGCAGCGTTGAGGTCTGATGTAACTTCTAGGTCAAGATAAAAAGAATATAATCAAAGCAAAAACAAATACCGTTTAACAGCAATTACTGAAAGCTGTTCTGTTCTATGAATTTATCCGTTTTTCCACTGTATAAAAAAATGCACATGAATACGCATGTTCACGCAAGAAGTCCATTAAAAATCCCGTCGCCCTCCCACCACTTCCTGTTGTCTTCTTTGTGGTTTGCACAAAGAAGACAATCATATCTGGTTATGATTTGTGTGTTGCAATAAACACAAGTCACTTTGGACCACAAAGCTACCAAATTTAGACGAGGCGTCTGGGAATCCCTGTTTAGACGTCTTGTAACAAAACATGATCCTTTTCAACATCTGAGTGTCAGAGGAGTTCATTTTCACCTGCTGCTCACTGAGAAGTGTGCACAAGCATACTTTCCACAAATTCTTAATATATACTTCAAAATTTGACTATTTATTAGACTTGATTATTGAAATAATTTTCAACTAATTTAGTGATCAATCGTTAACTGGAGTACAGACTCAAATAAAGGCGATGTGCTGACACAACAGATTCAGAGCGATTGATTCAACACTGTACAAAAAGTAAGAACATTTTGCATCAAAGACAGACTTTAAGTACCCAAAACTCCTCAAGTGGTTCAGTTTCAGCTTCACCCTGCAGAAAACAAATCTCCCGTCCAGCATCTTTTGCTATCCAATTATTGGTGGGTTAATCTAAAACAATAATCAACAAATCAGCTCCTCACTGCATGGACAAGTTGAGCATGAATGCCTGAGCTTTTCACATGTTGACGTTGGATCCTCCGGTATTTGCACCGTTTGCTACAGATGATCAAACATTTACAAAAGGAATGTTATGTTACTGCATATTAATGAAATGTTTATTTTTCTATTTCAATTATTGATTTATTTTCATCTCTTAATGTCGCTGTAATGTCGGAATAAAATCACCGTAATGCAGGATGCAACTTCTTTGTTTGCTTTTTTTATCCGATTAATCAGAATAATCTATAACTAATAGATAGATTTTCAGTTGCAGCACTACTACTTATATTTATAGACTTTCTTGCTTTACATGTGCATGCTTAGAAATAAGTCCAGTCATTGTGAACTACAGTCTCCTCTCTGTGTTTGGCTTGCAGCCACCAGAGGGCTCTGACGGCTGGGAGACCATTAAAAAGAAACACTGGGCACATAAAAACCCAACAGAACAGAAACATTCGGTGCCAGCGAGTATGTTAAGCGGCACCGATATAAAACCATCGGCCACTAAATTGTGCTTGTCGATGGATTAGTTAAGATGACCCCAGCCCAGTCTCCAAACAAAACTTAAAGTGTTGCAGTAGGGAGAGAGAGAGACAGAGAGAGAGGAGGTGGAGCAGGAATGATGAAGACTTGGATGGTTCTGGTAGCCTGAATGAGCAGATCTTCAGCGTGAAATGACTCGGCGTGCCATGGTCAGGTTAGAGCGGTGAGACAGCGGCTCAGGGCTCACCTCTAAGGCAGGAGGGGGGGAGGTACCACAGGGGGAGAGAGAGGGTGGTACTGAAGTTGAGAAAGGCCACTAGATCAGAAACCACAAGAGCCAAACAGTAAAGAGCCCTGAGGAGGCGAACTGTGGGCGAGGAGAAGAGAGGAAAGAGCTGCTGGTTACAGAGGAGAGAGGGCGGGGAGGGAGACGGCAACGTGACTCCCTGCTGGGCGCCGTCGCTCACAGCAGGCAAGTATTAGGGCAGAGATTCTGTTAGCGGACTTAAAGCTGCACTATGTAACTGTTTTGCAAAGAGAGGTTTCTCACATATTTGTTAAAACCGCCACAAGGGTGTGACGAAACATCAAGCATCAAGCGACAAATGATTTTACTGCAGTGGATTTCCAAAGCTGTTTATTTTGGAAGACATCCCATTTGGATTATTTGACTTATACTTTACTGTCCTCACATAATGATGATCTTAACAAATATGTGAGAAAAAACAACTTTTTTTTTAAAAAAATTAAAGTTACATACTGCAGCTTTTAGCAACAAATACTTAGAGCAATGTAATTGTGATGAGGAAGGTTAATCTCACTCAAATGGTGGATAAGTGCCTGAACAGGTTGAGTTGCACTACACATACAAAGTTTTTATTTTGAAAAAAAGCTGCTCCTTTGTTTCCTTCCTGTCCTCTCTGACCCACCTGCCAAGCCTCCAGCTGCTGTGACAGGTTGAGTTTCTGCTGGATGGCGTCCAGAAGCTGGCTGTTCAGAGACATGATGTCTATTTTACATTTAGCCAGCTCCATTTCCACAGCTTTCTTCCTGCAACGCGCACACACACACACACACACACACACACACACACACACACACACACACACACACACACACACACACACACACACACACACACACACACACACACCAAAATACAAACATGTTGAGGATGAAGACAGGCTTCAGAATTTTTACATTTGCAGAAACAAAAGCATAAGCTTTGTTTGAAATTGCTGGCAAGATCTACTAAATGTCGATAAAATATGAGAGCAAAGATTAAAAATCTAATTTCACAATTTCACAAGTCAACATGTGATCGACCAACACAAAGTAGTGCGAAGTTTAACTAGAGAACATTATGAATAACCGTGAGCATCTTCATGGGACTGCAACTCAACAGCAGAGGGCTTTCAGTCAGAGGCTTCTTAAAGCAGCTGTAATGCAGACTGCTACAGGAGAACCTTCCAGCTCAGCATCAGCAATAAAAATAATCAGTTTGCAGCTACATGTTAGTTAATTTAGAGCTAAATAAAACTAAATATTTAATAGAATTAAACATTAAGTCATAATTAAACATAATAGTCATAATGTATCAATAACATGGTGAAAATAAGACTGTGAAAAATTAACACCCACATTTCTTTCTCTGACAGGTTAAATAAACCTAAATATTGTTTGCTTTTTTTTTTTTGCTGCCTAATTTTACAATGGTCGCCCCATTTATAACGTGTCAACATAAAGCTCTTAAAGTCCATTTAGTTGCTTCTGTATGGTTTGTGTCCGTGTGTTTGGTGATTGACCCTACTTGGCGATGGCGTCGTCTCGGTCTCTGATGGCGCTCTGGAGCTGCTCACTGGGTTCTCGGACGTCCGCCATCGCCCTCATTCGCTCGTTCTCTTCCCTCAGAGAGCAGATCTCGATGGAGAGCAGCGCCATCTGGAGGTCGCGCAGGAGGAATGGAGGAGAGTTGAGAGATAAATGCTTTGTGCATTCCAAACAGCTCCGTTGGCACGGTTTAGTCAGAGTGCTGCTCATGTGTGAAATAATGATTTGACCCAGTTAAAGTGCAGCTGACGTCAGACGGATGTTTGGAGGACTTGTTTTCGAGCAAAGAGAAGAATGTCTGTTGCTCTGGAGGAGTGAAGGCAGGTTGGAGTCATGTCCTACATCACAACCCTTCATGAGTTTCCCCACCAACTCTGCTATTCTTGGACCTTAGACGGGCATTACTTTAGAAGAAACGTCTGCATATGAGCTACCTCGTATGCAAAACTCTGAATAAAGTCCAACAGAGTGAGTGGAAGTGTTAAAGGGGGAGTACTGTGTATTTTCCAGCCACATAGTGCTATTTTATAGCACAATCGAGTAACTATGTTGACTTCAGTTGTTGTGAAAATTCAATATGAAATAAGGATTTTTTTTTTTAACCTGAGTTTAACTGAGAACTAGCTCATAATGAGCTCAGTCATATGCAAAGTTCTATCAGGTGTTTGCTAATTGCTGCTGGCTAGTCTAAAGGAGCTGAGTCGGGGAGTCACACAGCTCGGAGGAGGAGCTGCGTCTGGAAGGCGGAGTTAGATCCACCCAAGCTGAGTGGTTGCTACAGAGATCAAAGGATTTCTCAAACGTGCACAAAAGACTCAACCTGACACTACAGGAATGTTTTTGATGAGGGAGTAACACAACATGATGCAAACCTCAAAAACATAGATTTTGCCTGACACCGCCCCTTTAAGTTGAGCATCAGAATACCTGATTGTGCATCTGCAGCAGCTCCTCTTCGTTGCCGCGTGTTTTGTGCTGCTCCGCTTCATAAAGCTCTCTGACCTCCTGCAGTTCTTCTCCCATCTTCCTCACCTGCTCCTCTAGAGCCTCCTCATCACTGCGCCGTGAACCCTTCCAGACGGAAACAAAAACCCATTCACAACACACACCCCGGGGAGGTGTACAGTCACAGCTCAGATGTCAATAGTGCTCCTTTTCTTTCTTATTCTTTTAAAGGAGTTCAAGAAAAATATTGCAAATTGCTGTCAGTATTCACTATATGTCAATATTTACTCCCCCCTGCCTCTTAAAAGAACCTCGCTCAACTCAAAATGTAATTATTGTTTTTAAACGAATTTAGAATTTGAGCCAGAAAGTCAGCTCTGCTTCTTTACCGTAGACTCATTCCCATCCAGCAGATTCTGTGTTAACCTCCGTAGCTCTAATAGGCTGGTGTGGAGGCTCCCTGTAGGCACGTCCTTGACCGAGGACGTCTCCGAGGACTCGTCCATGGACGAGTCGGTGGAGAGTGCTGAGTCTGTGACATCGTTTCCTCTGAGATGGGAACAGAGCGAGCGAACTTCACAATAGGCCTCCCAAAGTTGTAGACGCAGCTGTAATGGGGAGCATTTAGATGTTAATTTGGGCGCTTTCGGCGAGCAATGCTACACAGAGAGCGGACGAGTCAGAGCTACCTGTTCCCTCTCCTGCTCTTGCTCCTCCTGCTCCATGCTCTGCTCGATCTCACACAGCAGGTTGGACGGGTGGGGGCTGAGAGTTTGAAGACTGTGCTCCTCCGTTAACTCGGCCAACTTAGCCGTCAGCTGTCTGTGGGACACCTGGACTTCCTGAAGCTCCAGCTGGCTTTGTCGCAACTAGGGATAATAGAACAGGCAAGACTTTGAATTCTTTGCTCTTATCCATCTGAAAAAGAAAACTGTCAGTGACATGCATGATAATGGATTTATACAACCATGTCATTGATGTAAGCGTCTCCCAAACTTTACAAGTCTTAATGGTGTCCTTCTGCCTGAGTCTATATTACGGTGACTAGAGATCAGGTGATACGGCCAAAAACATTTCACAAGATAAGCTTTTCATATCAGTCAATTGATAATTGATTTTTTTTTTTGGTTTGTTTTAAATATCTGTGGTGATACAACTTTTCCTGTTTTATCCATAAGTCTTGAACTCATTTTTCCCCTTACTCCACACCTTGTATTAGAACAGACAGCACAAAGGTCCTTTCCCTCCACGAAAACTATAACTAAAGTTAGTTTCTTATTTTGCACAGCTTGGTTAACATCTGGAAAAGAAACTTTCCAGATAACAGTCGGCCACCGGACTGTCTCACGTTATTAGTGTGGCACTCTGAGACCTTTGGTGTGTGGCAATGCCTTAAGTCAGAAAGAAATCAACAAGGCTAAAATGTTGAAATTGTGGATTCAAAAAACTCAATCACACTGAAAACTGACTTCCTCTTTGCAAGAACTTGATCTATTTCCCGGTAAAAAGTACTGAAACGGTTACGATCAAACTTCACTAGACCAGAAACGCAGCCAGCACAAACATCCAATGTGGCAGGAGCAGAAAAGTTTGTGTAAAAAGCAAACAAAATCTTGTCGCATTCAAAATGTTTGGTCCCAACTATTGAATGAAACTAAGTAGCTATAAAGACCCCTTTGGCCTGGATTCACCTGAAGGTCCTTTTCGTGGCACTGTTTCTCGAGCACCAGCGTCCGCTCCCGGAGGTCGTCCACGGTGTTCTGCAGCAGCTCGTTCTCCTCGATGGTGGCGGTCACCCGGCGCTCCAGCTCCATCTTCCTCTCCGACAGCATCTTAATCTAACGTGTCATATGGAGGTGGTTAGACGCTACGCAGCCGAATACCGTGAGCTGAGAGGAGAAACTCTGTTGCTCTCAGAAAATCAAGTCACGGAGCTGATTAAAGGCTACATTTGACTGTTTTTATTTGTGTGTGTGTTTTTTTCTACCTCTGGAGCAAGCTGGGCTCTTGCACAAGATTAAAAAGTACTCCCACTGGTCTGAAGAATGTGTGTTGCCTAGCACGAGCGTGGGTGTTGGTTGCCACCCTCGTCCTCAGGAATGCTCTGGTATCCTTAAGCATCTACACAAAGCTTGGTATGAGCCTGTTCATTACCCTGCCAGTTCAACCAAGCCTTGCACAATAACAACCTTTTCCCCCCCTGAATCTGCCTGAGCAGCTCCCCCGCCTCCCTTCCCTTTGAAACAAAAATCACATCTTGTTCCTTTTCATCCCCTGACCTACATCTGGTAACCTACTTCACAACGCGGCCGCTCGAAGGCGGATCTGTTGTGCTTCTCCGCCGTCAGAGGTTCTACGCTGTCACGTCCTGGGTTTTTACCTCTTTTAAAATATGTGTTTTCAAGCGAAACAGACTGGAAAGCCGTTAGTCATCGGCACATGTCATACGAAGGCAACTCGCAGGGAGAGCGGGAGCACCCAGACGTTGCAGCATCTCGGCTAAATATAGAGCAGTAGCCTCTTCGCCCAATTATAGCGCAAGGCTCCGCAGTCCGGGTGTTTTCTCACTGCAACAGAACAGCTGAACTCGCAGAGCTCCTCATCAACACATACCATGACCACACCTCTGGCTTCTTTTTGACACATTTGCCATGATTGATAACCCCCCCCACCAAAAAAAAAAAAAAAAAAAAAACGTCACCAGGGAGAATGGAATTGAGTATGTTATCGTGACATCCGACCATCTGCCTGACAAAAACATCAAGGATGTTCCCTGAAAAGAGGGTACTTGTTAGAGAGGGACGCAGACGTCACATGCAGCATGCAGTCTGACGGAACCACTCACTTCTAGCCCTTGCTGCTCCAGCCGAGAGGGACGTAGCGATGGAGAGAGGCAGAAATGTTGAGATAAAAGAAGGAGAGATTACACTTCAGTAATAATCCCATCCTGGTCCTCCGTCCTCTGAGTTAAATCATGACTGGAAACTTTAAAGCAAACCTCAGCGACAGTCCGAACTTTCTTCTCTGCTCTTTTTTGTTCCTTTAGAAAACGGTGTGCTAGAAATAATGACTTATTTGAATCATGTTTTACAAAGGAGTTTAAATCAGCAGCTCTCTTCAGAAATGCAGAATCTCAAAGTTTTGCAGCATAAACTCTGAGTTTTCCAATTAGTAAGAGCAGGAAACTTAATCTCTAACTGGCCAATAGTGAAACAACACTCTTCATGTTGAAGCTGGTACTGAGTGAAGAAGGCTGCTAGGTGAATCACAGAGGTGTTTAAAAATGAAGTCAGATGAAGCCCAAGATGATGTATCCAACAGAATCATGTCTGTTTTGATTCAGGTTGTCACGACTGGGAGTCAGACACCAGCTGCTGGCTTTTTTCATCTATTTATCCATCAGTCTATCCACCCGCCGCCTCGCCTGGAGTCGGCTTCATTCCAATATAAAGTTAGACACTGCTGTCATTAGAAACAGAAACGTGAACGTGAGCAAATAAATCCCAGCATGTCATAAATTGCAGAATTCTGGACAGTTGTCAGATTGGTCTCTTTTACAGGAATCATTGTTTCATTTCACCACAAATAAGGCAGTTACAATTTTAATGAAAAAAGCACAAAAAATATTATTATTGAAGAGAAATCAGTTAAAAATCTGTGACCGGAAATCATCCAGAAAATCTCTACGATCTCTGCATTGATGCACAAGAACGTCTTCAAGCATCACATGCTTGTAGAATCAAGTTTTAGATCATTAACATTTGTGAGTGAAACGTGCGAGTAAAAGCTGCAGAGTGCGGCTCACCTCAGCCTGCAGCGTCTCCAGGCGTGTCATGTGCTGTCTTGTAGACAGACTCTTCTCCCTGAAGTCGTCCCGTAACGAATGGACCTGAGTGGACAGCTGCCTCTCCACGTCTGCAGCCTGCATGAGGACAGAAAGACGAGACATGGCAGATACTCACTTCACTGCTAAATAACACGCTTATGTTATGTAGATTTGTTCCTGTGGTTTTCACAGTTTGTTCCAGAAGGTGGTGCGTTTGATAGCTGGACCACCTAACAGCACCGTGTGTCACAGTCTTTATTAAAGCATCTAACAGAAAAGCGTTCACTGCTAAATCCCTGTGTCATCACAGCTTACTGACCAGGTGGGATCGAGGCCACTTAGGAAAGAAGGAAGTGACTGCTAGCATTGTTATAATTGCCATGGCAACTGTATTTCCTAAATAGACACCAATTTAAAGGGGAAACATTATGTATTTTCCAGGCACATAGTAGTATTTTATAGCAAAATCTAGCAACCATAATACCTTCAGTTGTTATGAAAATGCTTTGCATATCAAATATGACATAAAGGAAATTTTACTATCTAATTTAGCACTTTAAAATTGGGCATTTGTCTCTTTAAAAACTCTTATTCTTTCTGACAGTCTGCCTTCAGGAAGTCATCACAACATGGCATCTCCATTAACCTGTTAAGAATGTTTTTACCAGCATCTCACTGAGAAGTAGCTCCCATAATGAGCTTAGCCAATGCTAAGTGATGGATTGCTAATTTCTGCTGGCTAGTCTGAAGGAGCTGAGTGGGGAAGGCTGCTCTGAAGGTCAAAAAGCTTTGAAACTACAGGAGCTTCAGACTTTATGCACACTGCACACAAAGCGAACTAAAACAAATCAAATGGAACATTTCAATTATAATAGAAACCTATTCAAACCAGTTAAATTTCTGACTGCGCTGAATATGTCTGGGTCATTGTTACCTAATGTAGGCTAAATTTTTCTCCCTTTTGTGATGTCATCAATCCACAAACATACATAGCAGAATTAGCCATCTTTTTATTGTGTGCTTTTTAAAGGTTTCCATTTTGTAAAATCCTGCAGCACAAATTCAAACTTCACCACCCAGCCTTGTTTTCATTGGTCATGTACATTGATAGCAGGAAAAAATGCACTGATGAATACTAGCATTTTTAAATTAAAAAGGGTTAGTTCACTGTGTTGTGTAAATAAATCCTAAATTATTCAAGGAACCTGGAATAGGTTTCGAGTGTAAAGGGCAGGACCAAAAGGTCAAGCTGTGATCTTTGATCCCTTAGAAGTCACTGCAGAAAGAACAGTCAGTCTGCCTGTCACCACATGGACGCAAATGAACCAATAAAAGATGTAACAAAGAAAAACATTTTCTGCTTTTATGCCTGCTTTTTCCTTGACTTACATGATTAGTAAATTTATTTTGACTAATGGTTTGTAGTTTTTGTTCTTTGAGTTTTCATTGCTCTTTTTGATTAGCTTCATTCCCGATGTCTTCCCATCATGTTTACTACAGCGTCAGTCAATTCACTGGATGTGTGGTTCAGTAACTAATCTCACCAATCAAATACTTTGGCTCATTACTTTCTCTAATTTTTCCCTGTTTGTCTTCATAAATATTGCGTGTGAGTGTTTCACATGACAGAGCCCAGTGTGTCATTTTGTAGCACAATCAAGTAACTGTTACCGTCAGTTGTTATTAAAACATCCAATAAATATGACTGAAAACAAATTTGACTTCATAATTCATCGCCTTGAAATTGGGCTCTTTCTCTTTAAAAACTCCTGCTCTTTCAGAAACTTCACCTTGAGGACGTCATCACAACAACATGGCTCCTCTATTAATCCTTTAAATTAGCTCCTATAATGAGCTCAGCAGTTCTACAGTGGTCGTCTGCTAATTGCGCTGGCTAGTCTGAAGGAGCTGAGGGGGCAAAGGCGCTCTGTGAGACGGAAAGTCGGAAAGCTTTGAAAATGCAGGAACGGTATCGCTGAAGGCGGGGCTACGTCCAAGCAGCTTAATGGTTGCCATGGAGATTAAAGGATTTCTCAGACATGTATGAAGAAGGAATTAAGTCAACATAGGTTCTTGAAAAGGAAAAACATTATAACATGATGTAAAGCAAAATAAAAGTCAGTTTTATGTCAAAAGAAAAAAGTTTGGTTTTAGTTACATCAACTCCGGTCACAAGCCTCTAAAAAAATCAGACTGTGATCCAGATGTGAGAGCCAGTTAGAGACTGGACACAGAGTTACAATCTGTGTCTGAATCACCATCATGAGCTCACGCCTTTAATCCGCTCTGCGTTCAGAGGGACAGATGTGCACTTTAAACCATGCCGTGCAGCTGGCAGGGCCCAGTGGCGGCGACAGATCAGGTCACCATGGTAACGTGGCATCTGACCCACTGGCCCAGTAAACAGACCGATTTAGAGATCACACTGGAAAACTACGAGGTTGACCTCGGACCTGCGCGTGCATAGTCGCCAAATCTGCGGCTAAATTCCTCAGATTCCAGATTATCAATGAAAGAGGCCAAACTAGAATAAAAAAAAAGAAACCGGGGAAGGGAGGAATCCAAAAGTCCGACTCTGACGTTCAGAGTGTCGGTTCCCCTTTGAGGCCGCCGGACCTGACTCATACGTCAGGGGGTCCGATGTGACGCACCCTCGCATCCGAACACTGTCTCACGGTGCCATTCAGGAAAGCGCATTCCCATGGCAACACCAAAATTTGCATGTCACCCTGGTTGTCATAGCAACCAGAGAGAAGCGGTACTGGCGAGGCTGCGACACGCCGGTCAGGTTGTTTCTGACAGTCCCAGTCCGGGTTGAGCCTGTCGTTCTAACTGCTGCAGCCGACAACAGGTCAACCCAAGAACCGCCGACCTGAGAACAACGCTTTGCACTGACGGGATGCAGATGCTCTGCTCTGAAACCTGGACAGATTCCCTCTGACGGCAGGCTGTGGAAGGAGCAGAGAAACCATCCGGCTTGAGTTTAACGTGGAAGGAAACATTGTGTCGCTCAGACTCCAACACAAGAAGATATAAAGTGAGATTGTGCCACATTCAGGGTCACGTCTGGATGCACTTTCTGTGGCGCTAGTGACCTTTACTCACATTAATCAGACACAGAAAATGGGAAAATATGCAGCAAAGGTCTTCAGGAATCCAACCCCAGATGAGGACTAATAGCTCCTATACAAGAGGTGACCACTCTAATGTCAGGCACTGCAACACTAAATTTTCTTCTTTTCTTTTTTTTTTTTTTTTGTCTCTTTGGATGATCTCACATTTCTAGATATGGCCACATAGGGGTACTTGTTTCACTGCTTATGGCTCTACTTTTAAAGCTGCAGAATGTAACTTATATAAAAATGTATTTTTACATATTTGTTGAAGCTGTCAATATGCCGGGCCTGTTTATGAGACAGATAATATGTGGAAAAACGTAGCTGCTCTGTCTTGTGCTAGTGCTAAGTACAAAGAACCTATCAAATTCAGGAGGCGTGTCTTAGTGCTGTCAATCACAGTCTTGTTGGTGCTGCCCAACCTTGTTATTGTACAGCTAGAAGAGCCTGTTGTGTGTGCTAAGGACAATTCGCTTGGAAAACGATGACGGCGGATAAACGGTTTTCCTGTAATGGTGAGTTGTCTCTCCTCCATTAGCACATTTAGTAATGAGCACATGGGCTTGATTGACAACAATAAGCCCCTCCTCCTTGCTCTTATTGGTTGATTTTGGTCAGGGGCAGTGGGTTTCTTCAATAGCAGTTCAGACAGGAGGTGGAAGAGATTGATCATTTCACATAATATCTATTTCATAGCAAACTGTCACAACATGACAGTCTGAACAAATATGTAAAAAACTATTTTCTATAAAATCACTTACTGCAGCTTTAAGCCAAGTTTATTTGTATACCACATTTCAACAACAAATCAGTTCAAAGTGCTTCACACCATAAAACAACACAGCAACCAATTAAAATCAAGCAAACATACATCAAACATATTGATTAATGTTTCTGTACATATGACTCAAAGGCAGCTCTAAACTGGTGGGACGGTTTTATTATTTTTGAAGCTTTTGCTTTTTGTTCTCTACTTTAAGTCGTTTTGTAAGATTTTGGCTTGTTTACGCCAAGCAACTCTTATGCCCATCTGATTCCCAGGCTCAGTCGCATGCAGTGTGTTAAACTCTACTAAGTAAGCAGGAATTGAAATTACTTTTTCACTATAGCAACAAATAAGCAATGATGAGCCCCTGGAGGCTGCTGTCAGCACTTAACTGAGTCAGTCCAGTAAAACGGAGCGACGCCATAAAACGTGAGGATGCTGAAGCTGGGGTCGGTGCATGTCCAGCCTCCTCAGAGACTCTGGGGTGATGTAATTACAGAAAGGTCCCCATCCTGCTGCTTCACTCTGATTTGATTAGGTTCAATGAGATTGGCTGTCCTGACACAGAGACCAGCACCCACACACACACACACACACACACTCTGGAACAGTTAGATGTTAAATATAAGCCATCGATTTAATCAAACAGCAAGCACTAATGTGATTTCTTGTCATTTGTTCTGTCCTAGGTCACTATTATTAACGAGCTCATTAATCGCAATACTTTTTTTCAAAAATACTCTTCTTTAGATGAGTTCACGTCACCTGCTGTGACATCTCGCCTCGTCACGATAAGTTTTACTGAGCGATTAATTGTCTCAAAAGTTATTGCGATGAAAGATGATATTGTTTAAAGATCATTTTTAAACTGATGTAATGATAATGACATAATGCAAGTGCATCTTGCCAAAAATAAATACACTTTATTTTCAAAAGAACACTTCGCACTGGATCTGGAACAAAACAACCAAAAACAAAAACAAAATGGACTCTCAGGTTCTGTTCACAAAAAAAACAAAACAAAAAAAAACACTTCAATAAAAACAAAACACAACATGAAACCAAAGTGGAAATGAAAACTACATTCAACCAAAAGATTATGAAGTATGTATACTATATTGACCTTCTATAATCATTAGATTATAGAAGGTGTAATATGGGCATATTTAACTACCTGATGCAATAATTCACTAATCTCTTACACCAAGGAAATG